AAAAAAGTGAGGTGGGCCAAAAGATATTCTTGATCACGTCTTTCAGACCCAAACGGGGAAACGCCTTTTTTTATCTATTTTCAACTTGTTGGAAAAGCAAATTTTTCAGGCAGTATTTTTTGGGCAGATCTGATCAACACCTTCCCCCCCCTCCCCCCTCAAAAAAGTTATCAAAGGATTTCGTGTAATTAGATAATCGACTTCTTGAAAAATTGGGGTGCACATGTCCACCACGTTGGGACGAAGCTGCCCATAACCCTCTCAGTCAGCAGTAGCTGGTGCCGCCATTGATTATTTCCACGACAAATATACGTAGAGACTTTGTTGTGATGAATTACATTTGTTCATTACTTTTCAGGCTTGAAGAATAATTACATCTAGCTGCTTATTCTAAGAGTACCTCTCTAAGAAGCTTATTAGATTTCTTCGTCAGTATATGTAAAGTCATTAAATAAGCAGAGTAGCCTATAGTACAAGGATTAGCTTTAGCAGAATAAGCATCACCAGTAAACGTGATAAGCTTCAGCAGAATCCTAGACTTTCCCAAGTCTTTTTTGGTCAACTCAGTAAAGTATTCGTCAACAATAGACGTTAGAAAAGTCTTGCAGAATCCAGTCCAGTACTTGAAATTTCATTGCTGTTGCGGTACTTACAGTTTGCTAGTTTGACGTTTATCGCCAACCGTTACATCGAAATTCCTCAGCCTGGTTGATGACGCTGACTTTCTGTTAGCGATGCCAACTCTTTCAATATAGTAATTGTTATTTTCGCCAAGATCAACCCTCCACCAAGCGTTTACTTCATTTTTAGTATGAGAACAATTTGCACCATTTAAGAGATCGGTATTTCTATTGCCATCAACTGCATTGGATGATTCCCCTCCTGGGTAAGTGGACGATTGACTGGTTGGTCTTCCTCTCGCAATGTTGCCAGTCGAAGCTTGAAGAAAACGTGAATCTACAAGCTCAAACATTAACTTGGTCAAAACATAAGCTTGCTCGCGGTGGAGTGGGAGCATCAGATAGTAGCGTTGCAATTGCTTTTGTCAGTTAAATCAGCACAAAGAGTTGGAGAATACTGGAGAGAGCATTGAGATTCACATAGACAGTAATGGATCCTATAAAGATCATCTTCGTAAGGCAGGCAAGAATTTTATGCAGATCTCTAGTCTACGAAGTTTGTGCATTGACATTAACAAGACTGTGAAGAAACAAAATCCTACTTTTATGTAGGATATCTTTCATTTTAAATCAGTTTCCAATTCGAATCGCTCTTCGAAAAACCCCTTCGTCCAACATTACCATAGACCTATTCAAGTTACATTTGGCACAAACAGTCTTAGATCTTTGGGTCCCAAACGTCATGGAACAAAATGATGAAGTTTTTATATTCAAGCACTTCTGCAGTACAAGCACTGTTTTACTTTTAATGCCAGTGGCATCGGATGAATATAGCTAGAACTGGTGTAAAGGACCTCTTCCTTTCTTTTTTGTTTGTTTTTTTCTGAAAATTGAAATTTATTTGCTGTGTTATAAGTGATTATGAGTGGTACCCTGGGTTCCAGAGCGTTAAGTGGGGCGTCGGGGAAACAGCACGTTGCGGGAGAGTGCGGAGCAGGTGAGAAGAGAGAAAAAGTGGGTGCAAACGGATCAGGATCAGGACTAGCCTGTGTTAGAGACCGACACTATCCTCCTTGGTGGTAATAGTTTGTGGGGCAGGCTAGATCACGGCCCGGTGTTGTATTATCGAGATAAGTTTTTCTCATTGCTCGTTCCTTTACAATATAATTTTTCTCAAAGCTCGTGGTGATTTGATCATTAAATTTTCATGTATTTGTTGCATTTCTAAAACAAATAGAAGGAATAAAAAGACAAACAGAATCAATTGAAAAATTACCTCCATGTGTTGAGAGACAGCACGTTACGACAGCAACCAGGACAACAAGAGCCCTCGACATGATTTATGGAATCTGTGAAAAAGAATATTGAGAATTCTATCAGCCATTGATGAATGTATCCATGGGGTTGTGGCTAGCCCAAGAAAGGCTTTCAAAGTAAGCTCACAAAAGAAAGGGTTGATCTAGAAATATTTGGGGCAACTTGAAGATGCATTGTTTTGATTTCTTTGCTTAGAAAAACTTATTGTTGAAGTTGTCTGCACATTATATTTATGCTTTTCTGTGCCTACTGAAGAGAATAGTAAAAAAACGATTGAGTCGTGGGTGACGAGCTCTTAAACCAGTCTCTCTCTAATAAAAGTGAAAAGGTGGGAAAATGATCCTTGTCAGCCGTCCCCAGCGAGTAATCTCCTGACGAGAAAGTTCAATTTTTGGCGAAAAGGCCAAGTTTTATATCCTCAAATTCTCTGCAAGGTGAAATTTTTCCCATTCCATCTTTGGCCAAAGTTACAAGCAAATTAACCTACGTGCATTGGCTGTGGCAACAAGATTACAGGTCTTACGGCTTTTACCAATCCCTACCCAATTTGTAACAAATTTGTTCGCTGCCATATTAACCTTTACGCCAGGCTTGCTACACAGGGGTTTTGTGGATCTCCCTACTAGCAAACTCATGAAGGAAAATATTGTCTTTGCTTACAGATGATCAACAAAAAGTCTTCAGTCCATCCTATTTCTAGTTTTCAAGTTGCACTTATCCAAAAGCTAGACTATGCAATTTTGATGAGAAGAGCTACTTAGGGCTGAACACTACCGACAGTTACCGGTATTGACTGATGCGTTAGGCATACCATAATTCAGTATCAAATTAATGCTGCAACACATAAGCTGATATGATGTTACCATGTTTTTATGAACAGCTCGATCAGGACATTATTGTAGATTTAAAGTAGATATTACATCTCTATGCAGCGTTTTATTGTTTATTTTATTGCGATTTAGCACACGTTAATGTTCCAATCTCAAAACTCTGATATTACGTTATAGACACTAACGTTCATTCCAAGCAGTACACTGAAGGACCTCAGCACAGTGACCTCGATGCTACGAGGAGGCTCGTAGAACTCTTGTCGGAGTTCGCCGAGGCTCCTCCAATAATTATTTCTATGGCAAAAATGCATCTCCTGGAGATTAAAAATGTTGTGTTCCAAAAATTGTCTGGGGGATTAACTTGATCGAATAACAGCCAAGCAGGTTGCTTGTCCTCCGAATACAAAACAAACTTAAATCAGCTATTTCTCCTTCGAAAATTGTTGTAAACAACGGTAATCCAATAAATATGCTTACGCAGTACTTGATCAGTGCCTAGATAATTATAGATTGCTTTGTTGTTTCAATTGAATTTAACGCCACCCTCTAATAAACGCCGCATCCAAAAATTGGATTTTGTAATAAACGCCACAGCGTTCTTTAGGGGAATACGGTATTGAAAAAAATGATTGCTGTTATTAAGGAGACTTTGATGTAGCAGGGAAAGGCCTAGAACAGCAGGAATGGATACTGCCAAAGAGGCGACTACAAGACTCCAACTTGATATGACTTGATTGGTAGAGAATGAACTGAAAGGACATCTAATAAGTCACTTTGACTTGAAACTAAATATACTTGCATTGGTAAAATTGATCGCCAAATATCAAGCCACATATGCGAGGGGCGATTCACTCCTGAAAATAGCGTACGAGATTTTGCCTAAAACAAAAGGATTTCCGGGGATTTCCAGATTAAACAATAGGATTTTCACGAAAGGTGTACGAGATTCTCTTAGAGTGATTTTCCCCTCGCACATATGGGTTTACTTGGCACTGTCAAAAGATCTATAAACAAACAGTTGGAAGGCCTATCGATAAATCGGCATAGATGTTTTTGTTTGCAAGTAAAGAAGATTAAAATAACATTCCTATAATGCAGATAAAGAGGCAACCCAATGAAGAAGGCTTGTGAAACACTTTTGACTAATATCTTCTGGAGATTATAAAGTGACATTCGCATTATTCAAGTCTTCTTATTCATATAGAGCAAGAAGAAGACAAACATCGCTCAAGGCCTACAAAACTCATCTCTAACAAACTGAATGGGAGAGGCAACCTAAAGATATAATGCATCAGTGGCGGGAATTCAGGCTTAAATGGGGAGTGGGGGAGGGGGGCTCAGGCCCACAATTTTCCGACAAGCTAGCATCTTAGATCATGGCTAATTTTAAAGAAAAAGTTATTACTGCACACTTTGATAACAAAAGGTGATTTTTAGGCGGGACACTTAAGAAATCTTTGCTGACCACGCCCTTTTATCTAATAGATGGAAGAACATTCCATTAATGATTAAGGGTATAAAGATTGATATCTCACCTAAGGGAATTGGTGATGCATGAGGTCAACCGATTACAGTATTGAGAAGTCATTCATGAAAACAGTAAATTAAACTTTGAAGTTCGTTTGTAGTTTTTTATTTTTCTTTCTTTTTTTATTTTTCTACTCAGTTTCATTGTTTTGTTTTCTTCTGTGGAAAAAACGATTGAAAATACCTATAAGTAAATCGATACCTATATCTTATAAATAAGTAAAATATTCAAATATCTGGTTTTAAAGTTGATAGCAAACTTAGTAATTCCAACACATGGAGTGTTGTCCCATAAAGCCAATGTTAGCTTAAGTGCATATCCCAACTTTCCTTTCTAAAGAAATTTCTGTCCTTTCATCATACATTTTCTGGTGAAATGAATCTTTTCCCAATGAATCGTAAAAGGGTAGCTATTATAAGGACCTTCTCTGCAAACTCCGATAAAAATACAAAAGAATAAAATTGCAACTTACTACAATGAGACAAGCATCTAATCTTATCAAATTCAATCAAAACATCTTTTCTAGTACTTGAAAAGCTACTGCACATTGATAGCAAAGCCTTTTCTATTCTTTGGCCCTCCGAATTTGAAACTCAAGGCGTGCTTAGTTTGATACTGCTGCTTTCTGCTGTGATAGGCCCCACTCAAGTCTTGCTATACATTTTTTGGCTCATGGAAGGAATGAAATAGAAAGTAACAAGCTGATTCAGTTGAGACAGCAAAATGGCAATAAAATATCTTATAACATAGTTAAGCGGACAGCAATACAAATTATATTCAACCTAACAGGATGATATAGTCAAAGATGGCATTTGATAAAGTTGTATTGCTATTAAAAACTGGTATTGAAGTAAGTGCTAGATGATTGTTGGTCACCTAAGCGTCGTTGGTATGAGGTTGTACGTGGTCATTGACTGTTTATTTATGAAAATGCGACATATAGACGGGTTTTTTGTTGGAGGTAGTTGGAGAGAGCCAACAGGATTGAATTTCTTCTCTTAAGAATCAACCAGATGTCCTTATAGTTAATTTTAAGTATTGTTTCCGTTCTTCTTGTACTTGTCGAAATTAGGCTATGTTTCTAGACCAATGACATTTTTTATGTTTATCTTCAAAATTTACTTAAAAATCAATTTGTTGCTCTAAGAATTTTTGCAAAACCCCATTACATGCATATTGAAACTCTTTCTAGTATATTTTTATGTTCAAGTTTAAGAATCGTCGAATCAATCCTTCGCGCATTGACCTTATTTTGATCAACAAGAAGCATGACAATTTTTCAACTGGGTTTTATACGAAGCTCTAAATACTTGCTACATTACTCAGCATAAATAAACATTGCTTTTAAAGTGTCAAGAATAAAACAAATTACATCATCAAAGTCTAAAAATAATAAAAAATTGGCTGTGAAAACTTGCACAACCAGAAATCAATGTTGAAAGTTGTAAAGGTACAAAAAATGTTAAAAAAATTGGATGTTAATGTTCAGCAAACAGTTTGGGGTTTCTCTCATGCTATCTTGCAGCATCGATAATGATATTGCGCCTGTGTCTTGTCTGTGTTGTAGACCTTTCTAAAAGAAGATAGAAAGTAGCGCCCAAAGCAAACAACTTTTGCCTTTAGAAAGTCTTTTGCACGTGCAAACTTCGATTTTCCTTGAACACATTTCAGATTTCCATAATGACTTTTCGGCCGGCAGCATTTGTAGTAAGATTTGAAATCCCCGTCATCTGCCACAAGTTGAAATTCCGACATAAATCCATGCCCACAATTGAAGTTGAAGCCTGTAACCTCTTGCCGTCCTGAAAAATGGCACACATCTCTTTCGTTGAAAAGTTTTCTACAAGTGTATACCATACGGTACGGTTCATCTCTCTCCTTCCGCTCAAGACTAAAATACGACAACACTCCGCCATGGTTGCAGGACACTTTTGGGTAAAAGTATTTCCGTTTTGAAAATCTGTCCAAATGGAACCCTTCTGCAAATCCATAGTAATGCCTTTCATTGCACTTTTGCTCATCCAGGCGGTTACCACAATCATTGATGTAGTTGCAAGCAAGACTAGAATGAATGCATCGATGTCGTTTGCCATTCTTGCAATCAAAATCGTTGCTACAACATTTTATGAAGCATCTGTTTGAAAACATTGAAGGGCCTGTGCAAAGCTTGCCTTGCCCAACACGTTCCTTTGCTATCAACCTCGTACGATATGCATGTTGATTGTTGCCACAGACACATTGAGTGAACTGGGACCACTCACCCCAAACACAATCACGGCTGCAAGATGCCACTCGGTTTTCACATGAAGCATTAGGCAAACCTGTATTGTAGTATCCTGCAAACGCAATCGATTCTCTTGTCGTAAAATTCAACAGATAAAAGTTTCAAATTGATCATGGTAAGAAAGGGAAGTGGTTTAAGACTTTAGGTAAAACTGAATAGACTAATATAGCTGTAAAAAAGACAGGGAAATCAGTACACTGTCATCCAATTCCTTTATGCATATTTTTGCCACAGTACACTCTTCTCTTAAAAACCTGTAGATTAAGGTTTTAGCTGGCTGTACATAATCTTTCTAAGACCTTGTAGCTGTATTATTCTTAATTTTTTCTTAAATTAAAAAAATCTAAGTGAAAAATATTGAGACACATAGGATATCTATAATGCAGATGTGGTCTTTTCAATGTCATTAATAAAATATTGAGGCTGTAAAAAGTTTCTTTTAGTCTTAAATAAGATTTATTTGTTTTAAATCAGTTGAGCATCAACATTATCGATATTACATTACCTCAGCATCAGCTTTGTCTTTACATTTTTTTTAATTTTTGACCAAGTTTTAGATTGTACTCTAAAACATTTTTTTAAACCTTATAAAAAAACGAGTGTAATATATCAAAAGTATATACGAATTAATACTTCTACGTGTTAAATAGAAAACAGCGAAGGAACAGTACTAACTGCAGCAATCAGCGTTTTCAAAAATGAGATAGAAGTCCTCTTAACTAGCTGTTATGATATAAAATTGATAATCTTGAGACCCTTAATTGGCAACCTTAAAGTTGAAAGGTAAAAAGAGAAGCTTTTCTTGGCCTACTGGAAATAATATGCAGAAACATGATTTGTGATGCTCACCTTTCATGCAGTTGTTATTGAGAACGACCCCTGCGGGAAGCAGCATACCTTTGGTACATCTGATGTTATCCGATCCAGGCACCACATAGCTACAGGTTTTTTGATTGCGTAGAATATGCACTTGCTGCTTGGTTCTTTCTTTGTATTTTTTTATTATTTCTTTGCTTCCATGACCCATCAATTCTCTGGCTCTTGCCCAGAGTAGAAAGCCACGCTCTTGTAAAAGGAACATTCTTCTCCAGCAATTATCAACAGCCTTTTTGTACTCTTGGGTGCACGATTTTTTACCATACTTTTCGATGAATAAGACAAGCAACGGTTTATGACTTCCCACAGCTGCTTCTCTGCCTCGTATTAATGAATCAATTTTATACACCCAATACTCGATTCTATCAACACCCAGTACTTTTTCAGCGATTCTTTTTTCCATCTTTTCCACTTCTGTAATGTTAGCTGAGTATCGCGAGGCAACTTGCAGCTGATTATCATAGTACTCTATGTCGAAAATCGTATCACTGTATTGGGTCACAAGGTTAGCCATATCGAATCCACGTGCCATTTCTTTCTTTATGCTCTCCGATGTCTTTATCACAGTTGCCTCTAGTCGTTTTATAGAAGCAAGAATGCTGCCGAACCCAACACCAACAAACTCTCGAAGATCTTTGATGTCAAACTGAATATCTGTCATTGTTGGTAGCTGAAACGTCACGTCGAGGAGAGCGTCTGTGGTGGCAGCCAGCTCTTCAGTTGAACGCGTCTCACACTTTTCCCCATGATAGCTCTCTTTGCAAATGCAGTATGTTTCAGCACTAAACGGACGAGTTTGACATATTCCATTGCCATTGCAACGCTCCTTGTCATTACACGGTTTGTTTGCAACTCTCTCAATCGAATTTAACGTGAATACAAAACGGGCATTAAAATGCTTTGGCTTGTCCTCTCTACGATACCTACTGAAAAGTTTGATAAAATCAATTTCATAACCATACACCAACTTTTGCAAGTAAAGGTTGTTATAGGTACTTTGCTTTCCTGCCCCCACGACATGGTGGTATCTATCGTACACAAGAGTAACAGAATTGGAAATATAGTTCCTTAATCCCCTTGCAGAGAGAGCTTCCATTATTCGTGCATGCAGCTGACAAGCATACCTGGGAACCTTTCGAAAATAAAGAGCAGATCTTATGGCATTCTCAACCTTATTTCGCAAGTCTGAGAAAGTGCCACTTTTTTCAACGGGCATCGCAACGACATTCCTTTTGCCACTTGACCAAGCATTTCCAAGCTCATTTCGCACACAGTGGTATTTGCTACCATCATCTTTGTACACAACAGTTACCCAGTCAAGCCAAGAGTACTTTTTTTCCATCTTCTTCTTCAGTTCTGTAGCAATGGTTGAGGATCTCTGAACAGAATTCTCTCCTTTTTGATATTCCGCATCCTTGATGTCCTTCAAAATGTGATACTTGATATTACGATAGCATTCAAGAACCGTGTTTGCTGTCTTTATTCTGAGTTGATAGACCAGGTTCAGCCAGTCTTTTAAGCTCAAAGTTATGCTGTGTTTCGTTCCTGCTAGTTTTTCGTAAGCAAGAATAGCCTGTTGTGCCTTGTAAGCCAGTCGAAGTATACCATTCGCAAAGCCTTGAATTTTAGGCACATCACACTTATGCGTTGTCTTAATCACATCAAGTAACGATTTACTGAAAACTGATGTTGTTCCTGTTGCTCCGTTAACTATGGCTAACATTGCACTTTTAACATCAAAGCTTTTCAAGTACCTAGCAATTACCCTGCTTTTCAGTTTTTTGCATTCTTTTTCGGTCTTACATTTGATGAGCTGCATTTCTTTAACGTAGGTCTGCAATTGTTTATATCCGTAAATAATTTGTTGTTCGTATGGAGAAAATTTCGCTTTTTCTACCATTAATCCGATTAGATTTGGCAGCTGGTCCAACTTTTCCAAGGCGGTATCAAGCTTCTGGTTGACCTCTTCAAACTTTTCTCTCATGAATTGCAGCTCAGCCGATTCTTCTTCTGGCAGAAATGCAGATACAAGTGAGATGACCCCACCTACAGCACCCAAATAAGCTGACATCTTTGTCAATCTTTTGAAAGCCTTCGATTCTTCGCTTTTGCCAAGCTTAAGAACTTCAACAAGGCTGCTTCCAGTACCTATTCCTTCATTTGTCTTATCCAGAATATCCTTATCAGCTGCAACTGCAAGAAAGTTGCCTGGCAGCTTTAATGCCAAAAGAGCAACCAAAATAGCAACAAGGCCTTTCACGCGCATGACGGCACTCCTAGAAACAAAATAGTTTTCTCAGGTGCTTCTTGGCCGTGTAAGAGACCTAGCTTTTAGAGGGATAGATGACAATTACTTTCCTACAAATTTGCTTTTATACAATCTTAAAGCGCTTCCACCAGAAATTTTCACTAGCTGATCCTCAAAGTGTTCTGGCAAGGGTTTGGGAGCCAGTTTCTTACCATTAAGTGATCAAACTGAATGATATCTACAAGGAGATTCGAATGCAGACGGTTCAGTAGGCCATATTTATAAAGGTGTTAACTGTTAATCTATTTAGTCAATTAAAAAATAAGCTGAATATTGCTGTTGGCCTAAAGATGTTGATTGCGGTAATTAAAATCATTGCGTTTATTTCACAACTGCCATATGATGATGATACGAAATTACACAGAAAGCACAAAGATTAATTAAGACTACCTGAAAATAATTTTCTTCAGATCAATATTTCCAGTCAAGTACTCCCGTCATTGATTGGCCTATTTTGATCCACAACTGGGTATGTACTTACTGTTTTAAGATGGGTCCAAAACAAAGGTCTATTGGTTTGTGCCATCGCGGTTTTCTTACATTCTGGTCTCAACTAAGATCCTGTTCGAATTTGTACCGTTCCAACAGCGCTCAAAATTTTGGGACAAAAAATCAACTGTTTACATGAGAATGCAATGGTTCCGTTCACTTTTTGTATACAAAGTTGACCAAACAGAATACCAACGCGTATGGTCGTATTTCCTGAGCAGCTATCGAGAACAATGCAAAAGTGAGTCAGGTTAATAGTCCACGCGGGAAAAGCACGAAACGACTAAGTACCGTTTGACTTTTCGTATCACTTCTACCAGCGCTCATTTTTTTGGAACAGAAAGGTACGATTAAAATGTTCCGTGTGATCGCAACCACTGTGCTTCCCCCCTTTTGGAACGGAACGGTACGCAATCAATCCCGCGTGAACTGTTTTCTAAATGTTTGATTGCGGCCAGTGGCAGTTTTAGAGGGTCCAGCGGGGCCACGGCTCCAGATCGCGCGCTGATGGAACAAAGGCTCTGAAGATCTTTTCGGCCACCGGCCCCGCAGTCCCTAGAACCACTTTTGCAATTACTGGTGTCCCGCTTCTTCTGCTATCTTATTGCGTAATTTATCTTTTTTCATTACCTTATGTACATGAACAATTTTATTCTTATTGCTTCCTCTGCCTTCCTTGAAGAATGTTCAACGAGATACACGAAAAGGATGGTTTATTAGGTCTACCAAACGTTAAGAAACGTTTCTAACAAAATACACATTTACATGTTTTCCTTGGCTGTTACGTTAGGCAATTTACGCAGACGGGTCGATGTTGTCCACAATACCGATGCAAGGCAACGGTGCATTCTTTCATCTGAGAATATGGAATACCCAATAAACTTGGACCGACTCACTGAATTAGCTGTAAAAACAAACTACAAAGATGCCCTAATAATAAAGGGTGATGAAAAATAAAATATTCTTTGTAAGAACCTAAACGTCTATTGAACCTTTTAATCTACCTTTTAATTTTGAAATTAATTTTTTATTTTTGAAATAGCATTTTGGAAAAATATCAAAAAGAAAATAATGTAAAGGATGAAGTCCAACGTATCATTACATATATACTTCTTTATATAAAGATTTTTTCAGTAGATACAATTGAAAACTCCCATAAGTTTCTTTATTTGACACCTGATGTCACCGATGAATTCCGATGGTCACTTCAATTCCCATTGGCTACCTTATACAATAAGCTTACATCGGCAATGCAGCACTTTTTCACAATGATTCCTCAATGCTCCACAGAACTAGACAACGTGCAGACTCGACTGGTTTTCCCAGAGATGAATTTAGTGAATGGCAAATTTAGGATTTGTCTCCCAGTGGAAGAGAAACACTGAATTTTTCAACCAACTAAATTCATCTCTGGGAAAACCAGTCGAGTCTGTACGCAGGCTACACAGAACCTACTGTCAGCGGGAACGGTTCACTAACAGGACACAGTGCCTTTAGGATATTCAAAGAATAATACTGTGTCTAGCATTCTCGAGGATCTCATTGCGCATAAACGCAAAGACTCCCGATACACCATACTTTGGCACATATGAGCCAGAGGTGGCGCCAAAAATCTTCCGACAGAGGGGTTGGAGCTTCCGACAGGGTGGTTAAAATGACTAAAATAAGCAGTTTTCGTACGTTATTTTGTCACATTTGCTCCGACAATAACCTAAATTTCCTCCGATGGGGGGGCTAGATGCTTTCGACGGAGGGGCTGTAGCCCTCCTCCCTAGCCCTCCCCTGGCGCCACCACTGATGGGCTCGTATTCTTACTCTTGCTTTCCACCAACAAATATCGAGAAAAGAATTCACTTGCTGAATTTCACAACATGTGCAGTTTTGAATTTGGACATTTTGGTTCAGGTGAAACTCTGAGCTTAGGAAAGGTAGACAATTGTTTCTCTCTCTGACATGCCGATTATATCATATTACTAACATTTCTCAATTGAACTCGTTAGCGACGCCTCCCATCTCAAAATGGTGTGGCCTCATAGTTTCAGGGTTAGATGGGACCAAAATGGTATTCTTCTAATTACTGCAGATTTTGTCACGCCCATATTTGCAAACTATATGCAATGCTAAGAATTTTTAATCGATTTTAAACAAACTGAGAATAAAAGAGACTAAATATCACAAAGTACTCTTCCGTGATTGCGTTTTAAAAGAATGCTTAAAAACGCAATTCTCAGACCAAGGACGAGGGTTGGATGAAACCAAGAGGGGTTCGATGACAAGATAGATACGAAGAAAGTTGGATACAATAGGATGCTCCGTTGTATTCCAAATGATTATAATCAAAACTTGATTCAGATTAAAATTAAAAAGACAGCACTTTTGATGCTGATGTTGAATGATATTTGAAGCGATGAGTTTACAGATACATCAGAGGCCAATTTAAAGAAAAGCTATGTCCCTTATTTTAACACATTCATTTCGTTTAGGATCGAAACAAGGTTCAAAGTAAACAACATACCGTAAATCAACAGAAATCTTCTCTTTAAAAAGTTGTCTTCACTGTTCCAATGCCAAGAGAGACTGAGAAATTTGTGTTTTTTCTTGGTTTTATATCATCATTTTATCATAAAGGAACAATGATTTCTTTTTTACTCGCAAATAAAGCCCCAACGCTTTATACCGCCGCGGCCATAACAAGGAAGCTTAATTTTTACCGTCATAGGCATTCAGTTTTCTTTAGAACCCTTTGAATATGAAAAATTTTCGTAATCACTAGATCCAGAAACAAATCTCTAAAATAGAAATACTTTGCATATTTTCAAACATTTGTCTTTTTGAAGCCAAGTAGACTGATACGCTCAAAAAGACAAGATGTGTACACAAGCTGGAAAAATCTTTCATAGGCATAGACCCCAAGGCCAGTACGCAATAGAGCTGAAAATAAATTCAAATTTCGCCACGTCTCGAAGCTTGAAGTCGAGCAAGATCTGAAGTCCATTAAACGTACCAAATCAACCGGTATTGACAATCTGCCCCCAGGCTTGCTGAAGGATGCTTCATTGCAACTTATCCGCACCTCTGGCCCACCTAATTAATCTCTCCTTGCAGACAAGGACTTTTCCAGCAGACTGGAATGTTGCAAAAGTTGTTCCAGTACACAAATCTGGTTCTTTTTCCAGCTTCGACAATTACAGGCCGATTTCAATACTTCCGGTTCATCGAAAAGGCGGTACATCGGCAAGTCATGGAATTCCTCGAAGTTAATAAGTTTCTATCAAAGTTTCGATTTGGATTTAGGCCTAAGTTGTCCACGGAGTTAGCAGCAACTCTCTTATTTGATGAAATTCGGCAACATGTAGATAAAGGGAAAGTAGTTGGTGCAACGTTCATTGACTTAAGTAAGACATTTGATACCATCAGTCATTCAAACCTGCTTCAGAAATTACCTCAGTACTGAAACTGTGATGAAGAACTTGGATGGTTTTCGGTTATCTTTTTCATCGATCAATGGCTGTTAGCTATGGTGGATGTTTGTCTAACAAGCAAGATATTCAAACAGGAGTGCCGCAAGGATCAATTTTGGGTTCCCTACTTTTCATTATATTTTTCAATGACATAACCAATATGATAAAAAGTGCAAAAATTGTGAAGTATGCTGATGATAAAGATGTAGCAGTTATTAATTCTAAGCTCACCAAAGATATGGATGCTATTGCCAAGTGGCTGGACGAAAATGCGCTGATAATAAATCTTAAAAAAGGAAAAACTGAGTCGCTTCTTTTCGGAACATCACAGAGGATTGCAAAGCAAAATGAGACACTCACTGTCATGTACCGAGGCGCAAATGTATTGAACACAAGCCATTACAAATATCTTGGCATTGAAATCGACAGCCCTTTGAATCTCAATAGCCATTTTGACAAATGTTTTAAACGCGCATCAAGCAGGCTGAGGCTGCTGGGAAAGCTTAGAGATTATCTTGATCTCACCGCTGCGGAGACGATTTATCGCTCACTGATTCTGCCTACTTTTACCTACTCTGGAATACTACTGCTGAAGCTAACTGACACCCAATTAAGAAGACTAGCTTCGTTTCATAATCGCTCGGTAAGAACAATACAAGGAAATTTGAACACTAGCGGAAGAATTCAGTCAGTTGTCAGTGCAAATAAGATCCGTGCATGTAAGCTGGTACGCAAGTGTATTGACAAGGACATTTGTGACACTTTTCAAGGCTACTGAAATCAATGTCTTGTCAATCTTCCAAAAATTAAAACTGAATATGCACGCAAATCGTTTCGTTTCATGGCAGCAAAAATTTACAATGAACTGCCTATCAACATACGGAAAATTGAATCATTCAATGCCTATGAACAGCATCTTAAGCAACATTTTACCTAGGCTTCTTATTTTAGATATGTAATATATGATTTAGGCACCTTATTTGAAATATGTAACATATGGTATTAATACAATTGCTGTAAATTTTTCATTTTTTTATAAAATATCTTTGTACGTTAATCAGGACACACATTGATAACAGCAGTAACGTTGAAGTGTTAATCCTGTATAAAGATTCGTGTTATTATTATTATTATTATTACTTTCATGGACGTATTCATTTATGTGTGCTTTCAGTCGTTTTAGGGCAGTGACGGGCTTGTCCACTGGCCCACCGACACAACGGCCCCCTAACAATCTTGCAAAGGGCGACATTGAGTTAACAGCCCCAAAATGTATGTAAAAGATGTTAAATATAGCTAACACAAAACAAATTTACTCATAGGTCTTATTAAGGCATTGTTAATTGGAAACTATTTAGTTCCCCAATGCCGAATATTATCCTCTGAATCATATACAGAGAACAGCCACATTCACCCTAGAGAATTAGAGTCACACTTGGTTACAATTTTTCAAGATTTTGAACTGCCTGCTATCTTTGAAATGGGATGACTACCAATGTCCGCCAAAATATGCTTATTGGCCTTTATAAATAGTCAAAGTCTGACTTTTACAGTGCTGAGCAGTTCTGTAAACACATTCGTTTGAAAAAAGGATGTTTCTGAATTATATTTAGATTTTTCATTTTTTGTATGGCTGGTTTTTGAAAAACAAAAAACTTTAAAACGAAAACAAAAGACAATAAAACTTCTCAACTTCCTAAAATTTCCATATAAAGGTCCATAGGTGTTTAATGTTAATTTTCAAGGTGGGAAGGGCTGAAGAATCGACAAAAGAATATTGTTACTTTAAGGCCTTACTTATTTACAAAGTATCAATCATGCATCTAAGCGTCAAATACTTACAAGTAAAAATATAAAATTCAGTTGACACACGTTATCTCAACTGGCTTTATCGAACCCTTTTCTTTTTATCCATGGATGAAAAATTGTCTGTTATCTCGATCTCTGCGAATTTTCTGCCAAATTGGTCAATGTTTAGATGTGCTGGATGATAATTTAACACAGAACACAGAAAATACTGATAACACAGAAAATAACATGTCAACCAAAATCAAATGCAAATAGTTTCCTAATAGTTGCAACAAATTGATGACCAGGGACGTAATTGGCAGATTTTTTGGGGGGGGGGGGTGAAGGGCTCAAAATTTCCGACTGACAAAGGTCAATTTTAATTTTGTATGAGGGCCTAAACTTTAATCGTCTTTTAACAACAAAACCTTATATATTGTCTCGTAAATAATTATTCAGCTGTATGATGAAGTTTCTAGATTTCGTAAATTTGGAAGATTGAGCATAAAAACTGTTAGTTTAATTAGTGCATCAAAACATATGTAGTCCAAAAATCAGGGTTTAATTTTTCTCCTTCTACAACTTGCCCATTGCTCCACTATCTTATCTAAATTTACGTTGTCCAAAATGTCTTTCTCGCAAGTAGGAATCATGAGGTCGTTTAGTCTTTCACAGGGGCGGCGCCAAGAAATTCAAAGTGGGGGGGGGGTGCTCGAAATGATAGAATTATTAGACTAAAGAACCATCTTTTGAAAAACGCACAAAAACGCTTCACGATATTCTTTGCCGATTATTTTATGGGGCACTCATTATCCTAACGGTACGTTTGAAGGGGGCCGGTGGGAGGTTGGCGGAGGCTTTAGGGATATTCGAAAGAAGTGGCTTCCTAATTTTTACGACCGCGCTTTTTAAATTAGCTTAAAATACATTTCAGAATTCTTCTTGCAGGTATTTTCTTGCAGTCATTTAAAGCATTTTGTTATTTTAAGGCATGCTCTTATTACGTTTGATTAATTCAAGTCTTAAAATTGACTTCATTACTTTATGAGGCCCCATAGACCTCGGCGTATTCCTTGGAAATTAAGTTACTAAAGGATTTGTTGGATTATTCTTTTCTTTGGATCACACTATCCCCATTATGACGAATGTAGTTGAAAATACTTGCATTTTCATACATACTTCGTTTTTTCTGTATTGCATCGCCTCTCATTCTTTTTAGGACTGCCTTTTACCAAACAACTATTTTCTTTTGAACTTAAACCTTTCTTATGCTTCTCTTTGAGCTACAGTTCACAAGGTCATTTGAATGAAAACTTCAATTTTCACAAATGATTCAAATTTTCTCAGATTAACCTACAATGTCTACCAAAAGTCTTGGAACACTGACATCAAATTCCAAGGTCAAAATCAATCATCCCCCTCTCCCCTACAGAACAATTTTGGTTTACTATCAAACGGGTTAGGATTTTAGGAAGCACTTTTTTTGCATTTCTTTTATGATATTTCTCTAAATCATCAACATTGTTTTAGGGGGAAGGGGGCGGAAGTAGCAATTTTTTCATGAAAGGAATGAAAGATATCAAATGCAGCGTAAATTGCTAGGTGTTCGAAGTACTTTTGGCAGGCATTGTAGCTTTCTACCAACAGCTTTAAATTTTCCGACTGTCCTCAAATTTTTCGACTGGATGAAAGATTGGGGGGGGGGGTGACACCCCCCCCCCACAACCCCCCCAGTATTTACGTGCCTGTTGATAACAACAGAAACTTTGTAAACAAAAAAATAAATATATGCTGATCTGCTGGCCGATAAGTTGTTACAAGGCGGCCAAGAAGATTTCCCAATACACTCTTTCCAAAAGGGATGGCACCGCGAAATTGAAGCTGGGGGGGGGGCTGAGAATAAAGTTTAGTGACATAGGAGGACTCGCCATGGTTAGGTCCGACCTGTAAGGAAATTTTTTAAATTCAGCCTTTGTAATGGTTAAAAATTCATCTCCCAGACTAAAATATAGCAAATTATTATACCGCTCAGAACAGACAATTCGATGATTCTCGGAAAAACATTAATTATTGACTTTTAGGAAAAATTCGGGAGGGGAGGAATCATGCTAAAACGCTAGTGAGAGATATTGGGGAAAGAAAGAAAGGGTAGCCTTTGGTTCAAAGTGCACATCAATGTGAATAACAAGAAGCTGTTGCATTGAGAGAGAGAAATTTACTTCCTGGACAGAAATGTGCATCTGCGTTGTGCATCTACATATTTAAACATCCAAAATGCAGACATTGCAATGACACAGAAAGTTAGCTACTGAATTGATGCAAATAATAGACAAATACTAGAGTAATAATAGAGTAAGTAAATTACTTA